CGAAAATGAAAATAGTTTACAAACCGCTTTTGTTTAGCAAATGTTTTGAAAGTGAAAATGAGAATAAAAAACAATGCAAATGGTTTTTGTAAAGGAAGTTAAAAAATGATTAGAAGTTGTTTTCCTTTTTAGTTTTCATTTTCTAGTACTTATAACAATGTTACATTAAATTATTAAATTAGTAATTAGTAATTATATAATATATTAATTAATAATTAATAAATAGATATGATTATAACTAATAAATAGATAGTAAATTGCCAAAAAGATTCTATAATATATTAATAATAGAATAATTAATAATAGGTTATTAAATAAATAACTAATAATTAATATATCAATCATATATATTAATTATTATCTATTAATTAATAAATAGTTGATAAATAAAAAAATAGTAATTACATGGTAATATACTAATCAATAGTAATTAATATGCAATTCATCATTATTTAAAGAATAATTATAAAAAATTGATCATGCAATATATCAAATAATAGATTATTAAATAATGTTAGTAACTAATTAACTAATTATTTAATTATGTAACTAAAAGTTAATTATTTAAATAGTAAATAGAATATTAATATATTAGTCATATACTAATTATTTTTTCTTAATACACTTATTAATTACTTATAAACTAATAAATATGAGTAGGTTACTAACATAGTAATTACTTATAACTCATTATTAATTACTATGTTTTAATTATTTAACATATTAGTTCATTATATATATAGTTTAATTACCAATGTACTTATTAATTATAATATATCCATTATTATTGTATTATTAATATATTTATTTGTTAAGTATTTTCAATTATTAATTACTTAATATATTAATTTAAAATTATTAATTACATGTACTTGAAACAAAATTTCATAAATATAATCAAACATAATATTACTTTTTTTATTATACTCAAAACAATCTCTTAAAATACCAATCAAACGGAATTTCAGAATCCGTCCCACAATGATTTTCAAAACAATCTCATTTTCAATTTTGTATTAAAAATAAAATCATTTTGAAAATATTACCAAAAGGGCCAAATATCTTTTGAGAAAAAAAAGTCACTATAAGTCTCATAGGAAAGCAACAACATCGTGCAAATAGCATAATAAAAAAGCAATGGTTCCATAAACCATTGCTTTTATCGCGTCACTTGTTCTCCCCATATTCGTGGCCGTGCCCTTTGCTTAGTGTCTAAAAGTCGGTCAAGTCTAACCCGTTTAACAAAGGGAGAATGAAGTAAATAGCAAATTTATAGTAAATGATTGATGTAAATAGCAGATTTATAGTAAATGGTTGAAGTAAATAGCATATTTTAAAATTATTTAAAGTAAATAGCAGTTTATTGTGTAAATTTTCATTTATGATTGGTAAAAAATAAGTTATGTTGTGAAAAATCTTTATTTATGTGGAAAAATCTCTTCATCCTTTTCATCCACATGGATCTCTTCTAACTGCTCCACTGACTGTGACCCCGTAATCTCCTCCTCGACCCTTTGGTCGATGTCCTCATCAATAGGCCCCTGACTGACCATCCTCATTTCTAGCCTCCTAGGGTCATCGTATTCGTGCACGACATCTGAATATGCAACCCTTGACTCATATTGGTTGTACTTCATCTCTCCTACACCATTCGGAGTCAGGAACTTGATATTTTGGTGGTAGATGGATGTGATGGCTTTTACTGCTCGAAGGACCAGCCTTCCAATCACAACATTATACTGCGACACTCCCTTTATCACCACAAAGTTCGCCATCACTATGGCTTGACGGGGCCTCTCTCTCATTGTAATGGCTAACTTGATCATCCCTTGAGGAATGATTGAGTCTCCAGTAAACCCATACAAAGGTCAAGTGGTCTTCTTTATCTGTTCTTTTGGGATTCCCATCTTTATCAAGCAGTCAGAGTGCATGATGTCCACTAATCTCACATTATCCACCAAGATCCTACAAGCAGTGTGTTTCCTAATCATAACCTCGACCACCAGTGCATCATTATGAAGGAACTGCACTCCGCTAGCATTTTCCTCAGAAAAGGAATTCGACGGTCTTACTAATGAGAGGTTCCAAAACCTCTCTTGGTAAACCTGCCTTGCCTCATGGGCATAGTTCTTTTGGGATCTCCTTGAATCCCCTCCTATATACAGACCTCCATGTATTGTTTGTATGATCCTGATAGGCTCATGGTCATTATCTTGTCAGTTATCATCCCGACGATGATTGTCGTTTCTCTGGCCTTGATTCCTTCGGTCAGCTTTGAATTCCTAAAGTTAGTCCTCATGGATGAGTTTTTCGATTTCATCCTTCAAATCTGAATAGTCGTTGGTATTATGCCAAACTTCTCTGTGGAACCGATAGGACTTGTTCTAGTTTCTCCTGTTCGGGTCCCACTTCATTGGTTTGGGTCGGCCCCTTTGCACCGACCTTGAATCTTCCTGGGCATCACTGCCTAGTTTCCTCGAGGTGGCACCCTCGGGGGTAGTTCCTGTCCATTTGCAACTTCTTTTCCTTAGGCTTGTCTCTTGGCGGCCCTTTGCCTACTTCCCAGTAATTTTGACGGTCGAGGCCTAGGGTTGTTTCCCCTTGTGTTTTTGCTATCCCCAATCCCTTCCAAAGCACCACACTGGTCACCATTATTCTGGTTCCCGATTGCGACTGCATTTGGTGGTCTCAGTGAAACGTCTTCATGAGGAGGCATAGAGTTTCTCTCGTCAATTCGTTCTATTATGGCTGCCAAGTGTCAAATCATATCAGTCAAGGTGTTGAGTTGTGTTTGCATCTGCACTGGATCTAGCTGGGGCACGTTCGGTGCTGGAACTTCTTCATTCCAAGCCAGAGGCTAGTTCTCCCGATTGAATTGATTATCACCTCTTCCTCCATTAGGCTGATTGGCCTGATTCAAAATTTTACCCTCTATTTGGCTACATTAACTCGCAGCGTTGCTTCTTGTTCTTCTGGAAGGCATGATTTCCAGTTGATTTCTTCTCCAAAATTCTTCACGCTAACTAGAGATTCTGGGTTCGGTCCCTAGCAGAGTCGCCAATTGTTGATGGTGAAATTCATCAATAGAAACATAATAAATTTCGAAACGGTTATCGTGAGTTTTTTATTATCAAAATCACTCTTTGACGTAATTAAAAACAAGAACATGCAAGAATTATAGTGGTTAACCCTTAGTTCAAGAGTTACGTCTACTGTGGGAAGGAGATAATTCACTATACTCAGAGAGAAATTACACGCCCTAATTGCTTTATCTCAGACATTCTCATCTTTCGACCTACAATCCCTTATTATATATCATTGACCATTGTCCCTGCTAATTTCTTTATTTAATCAGGGTATATTTCCCTCATGTTTTGGGATGATTTCCCAAAAGATGAAGATTACAATTAATCAAGATGATTTCATTGCTTAAATTTCATATATTTTAATTACAAATAGCAAATCCCAAAGCAAATGTCGCATATCTCTCGACTTGTGTAGGCTCGACTTCATAAGCGCACCCAGAACCATCTTCACCTACTTGTTGGTGCAGTCAACCTCATGTTTTCCTTTGCATTTCCTCATATCGGTCGACCTCCTACGTATGTCACATCCTTTTGTAGCAGTCTGCTCTTAAGAGAGTTGCATGCTGATGTGGTAGCTAGGACTGAGCTGTCGTTGATCAATTAATGCTCTTATTTATGGCGTGTGGGCCCCATTTAGTGTTTGATTTAGGGTTTGAAATTTTACCCAACAACACTTTAGAAGATGTGTGTTCAATAAGTTGCGTTGTGTCGGTCAGTTTTGTTTCTTCTGTGAACCGGAAAAGTGGAGTTTGGTGCAGAGGTCTAGTTAATTCTACAGGTTGGATATAGATCTCTATGAATCATGGTTAAACAATTATACTTTTCTTAAGTTGATATGAGATTTGAGAGCTCGCCAGAACGATTTTCAACTTTCTATTAAAAAAAAGAATCATGTTCTTTTAGCATGGTATTTTATTTTTTCCCCATGCCCTATCACATAATTCTTCAGTTCCATGTATTTAATTGCTATATTATTTCTTAGTGGTTTGCTCAGAATCTCTTGCCAAGCGTGTAAAGGGTTTTGCAAATGGTTTCAAATTCAAGTTTAACATTTGAGTTTAAACTTGCCAGGCCCCGTTCATTTCACCGATTCGAGTTTTGTTATAGTAAAAAATCTTAAAAAACAGTCACATTTAATTTTCTTACTATAGTAAATTTTTTTTACATAAAATCACATCTCAATTCGAATCAGCGAACTAAACAGGCGTTCAGAAGTAGAGAATCCTAGGAACGTTGCAAATATTTCCTTGAGCTCCAAGATAATAAGGTACATTGGTACACTTGGGTAATGACTAGTCAAGCATCCTTTGGCCTATTTTTTATTTTTTATTTTGTTTCAGATAAGGACAAAAGTCATGAGTCAAAACGTGCTCGACTTGGAAATCCTCAAGTAATGGTCTTTCTCATTTCTGCGAGTTTTTAATTCCAGTGTAATTAAAGCCTTTCTCATTTTTTTGAGTTTCAATTTCAATTTATTAGAGTGAAAATTTTTTATAAAAAATTATATTTATTTTTTTTACCACAGTTAAAATTTTTAAATAAAGTTAAATTTAATTTAACATTCTTGCTTCATACGAATGTTATTTTTTATTATTTTCTAAAGTGAGACAGATGTAAATAATCCATGTAGGAACGTGGGAATATTTTCCTTGAGCTCCAAGATGATAAGATTAGGTAGCTATACTTGGCAATGATTGGTCAAACCATCATTCATAAGATGCCACTTGCCTTCATTCGTTGGAAGCTCGAAAGTGAGATGGATCAAGTTCTATACGTCTACATTAACCTCTGAATTTTCATTGATAAGGAAGTCCCTCGTAAACTTCTAGCTACAGAGAGAATCTTTTAGAATACATTTGATTTATAAATTAAAATCATATGATTAAAATTATTTTTAATTTATGTATATTTTTTATAAAAAAATTACTATAATAATTCATGAATTATGATTCACGATTCGAATTCCTAAACATCCCCTTACTTATTTATACTTTTGTGGAATTATAGTAGACTAAACCAAACTTCCTTGGCTCCAATGGAGGGTTCTCAGCCTCTCCATATCTGCCATGTCCACAAAGCTTCTGTCATCATTCACAGATCACACACTTTCCTTCATGTCTTAGCGGTTGGATTCTTGGTCTATTACAGAGCCTCTTTCTTTTTCCAAAACGACATCAAGAACAAAGGACTACCAACTTTACCATGGCTTCTTCTCTTTGTCTCCGAGCTCCTCCTCTTCTTCATATGGCTTCTAGGCCAAGCCTTTCGGTGGCGTCCCGTTTCTCGGACCGTCTTTCCGGAGAGATTGCCAGAAGATGATAAGCTTCCTTCAATTGATGTGTTCATTTTCACGGCGGATCCGGATAGAGAGCCAACTTTGCAGGTGATGAACACCGTGCTATCCGCCATGGCGATGGACTACCCGCCCGACAAGCTCCACGTGTATCTTTCCGATGATGGGGGTTCACTGGTGACTTTGAATGGAATGAGAGAGGCTTGGAAGTTCGCAAAGTGGTGGATTCCGTTTTGCAGGAAATTTGGAATCCAGAAGCGGTGCCCTGAGGCTTATTTCTCTGCACCAGCAAATGATGATGATGATGATCATGGAGATTTTGGGAGCTTTAATGAGTTTCTGTCAGAGAGAGAAAAACTCAAAGTGGATTCTTTCTTCCTGTCTTTGATTGTCAATATTCATTATGCAAAAAGAAAAAAAAAGGTTTAGCAAATATCAATAACAATTGTTATGGCAAAATTTATGTAATTTTGACGCAGGAAAAGTACCAAGCATTTGAGAAAAACGTAAAATCATTTAAAGAGACATTTGAAGATGGAAAAGATCACCCATCCGTCATTGAGGTACTTTTTCCTTTTCTCTTACCACTTATTTGGGGGACAAAATTAAGATTATGCAAGATTTTTGGTGGGAAAAAATTATTTTGATCATATGGTCAGATTTTGACAGGTTATTCAAGGAAACCCCAATGAGCTTAAAGAACAAGAAGATCAATCTATACTGCCTCGTCTTGTTTATGTTTCCAGGGAGAAAAGGCCTTCTCATCCTCACCATTTCAAAGCCGGAGCAACGAATACACTTGTATGTTACCTATCTCTCTTTCGCGGAGAAGATCGAAAAAAGAAAGCAGACACTTTTCAATAATGATGTTCTTGTTGTTGCAGCTCCGAGTCTCTGGAGTGATGAGCAATTCTCCTTACATACTAGCGCTAGACTGTGACATGTACTGCAACGACCCGACCTCAGCGCGTCAAGCCATGTGTTTCCACCTTGATCTCAACATCTCTTCCTCACTAGCTTTTGTTCAATTCCCTCAGAGATTCCATAATATTGCTAGGAAGGATATTTATGAAAGTGGGTTAAGATCCACATATTCGGTATGCAAGGCAAAACCCAAGTTGTTGCTCAATTAGTTATGGCCTTTGTTTAATTACCATACTTGTGCAAGAATATCTTTTAAGTATCTGTTTCTTTTGCATGTTTTAGATAATGTGGCAAGGTCTAGATGGGCTAGATGGACCAGTCTTGTCCGGTACAGGCTTTGTTTTAAAGAGGACATCATTATATGGAAGTTTTGCACAAGAAGGTAAAGCATCTATAGATTACATATATCATGTAGCTTAATTATTGCCCCGACTCAAAGAAAACACACTGATAGAATTACTTTTGTTGGGTGATTTTCCTATGCGATTTTATTTCTCTGGGTAGTAAAAAATTTGAGCAGCTAATTCTTAACAAATTTACACTTAATTTCTCAATAAATAGGTGCTGATCCAATGGAACTCAAAAAGTACTTTGGACCATCCAACGAGTTCATCAAATCTCTTTTTCAACATACCAAGTCATATGTAGTCAATGGCAAAGATTCTTCCAATGAACTGCTACAAGAGGCCAAATTCTTGGCTTCTTGCACCTATGGAGATCAAACTAAATGGGGTGAAGAGGTAACTAAGCTGGATCATAAAAAAAAAAAAAATCCATTTGCTTATCTTTATTATGGATAATCTCATAAGAATTTGCTCTCCTTCCAATGAAAACCAGGTTGGTTTTCTGTATTATTCAGTTGCAGAAGATTACTTGACGGGGTTCACCTTACAATGTAAAGGATGGACTTCAGTATATCTTAGCTCAGCGAAGCCACAGTTCTTGGGTTCTGGCGTCACGAATTTGAATGATCTATTGACTCAAGGCACAAGATGGAGCTCAGGATTGGTTGAAGTTGGTATCTCAAAGTTTTGCCCTTTCTTTTATGGTCCCTCCAAGATGTCTTTTCTTGAGAAAATGTGCTATGGATATCTCTCATTTTTTCCTCTCTACTGCTTGCCTTTATGGTGCTTTGCAACCATTCCTCAACTCTACCTTCTAAAAGGCATCCCTTTGTACCCTGAGGTATTCTCTAGAACCCCTATTTTGTTGGAACACTCCTATATAACTCCATGGGGTAAAATTCCAAATGCTCACCTAATGGGACCTACTATCATGTGAGTGAGGGAAGAAATCCTTATGGATGAATCTCATTTTCTTTATCTACAATGACGTTTTCCGCTATCCTTTTCTAGAGCCAAAAATCAAAATAACTTAAGAAAATGATACTAACATAAATCTACTCTTCTCTAACAGGTCTCAAACTCATTTTTCATCATATTTGTGTTAATCTTGATCTCTTCTCTTGCCCAACAATCTTATGAGATCCTTATAACCGGAGGCCCGTTTCGTTCATTGATATACGAACAAAGGATATGGATGATAAAAGCGATCACATCTCACTTATATGGAACTTTGGACGCTTTCATGGAGCGGATTGGCATGAGGGCAGCCAGTTTTGTGCCTACCAACAAAGTTGAGAATGATGAACGAGTCAAGCTTTACGAAAAAGGTGCATACGATTTTCGGACCTCAAAGATGTTTCTTGCTCCGTTGGTTGCCCTAGTGACCTTGAACACAGGCTCTCTTCTCGTGGGAATTGGTAGAGCCATTTTAGTGGGAGATTTGGACAAGATGTTTGTACAAGTTTTCATCCCATTTTATATCTTAGCCATAAACTACCCCATTATAGAAGGGATGGTGATAAGAAAAGATAAGGGAAGAATTCCGACGTCAATCACCATATTATCTGCTATGTTGTCCACGATAATTTTCTTGCCTGTGGTATCTAGATATCCTATGTACTAAACATGACGTGGTAGATAAGGTTGTATGTTAATGATGGTCTAATCACTTTAATGCTATCGTGAGTCTAAACCCATCCCCATGTTTTTATGTGGTTTGAACTAAAAAGCTGGTTTTGCACTCTTTTTATTTTATTTTATTTTTTTTAATGTTAAGAAAGAAGAGAGTCAACCAAAAAATATACTAAATGCACATTAGAATTGAAATGCTACAATAAAATAATTTAATGGGATAAAATTATTTTAGCACCCTCGGTTGTAGTAAAGCATCTCAAAAGTATCTTGTATTTTTAATAATATCAAAACACCTTCTTTAAAGACAAGTTTTTTTGGTATCTTTCGGCTGATTTTTAGAATATAAAATGTCCTCTACCCTTTTATTTATTCAATTAGAAACTTTAAATTTAAGAAAAAATAATAAAACATTTAAAAATACACTGAAGGTATGCATTTTTTTTTTTGCTATGGGTTGAAGAATTGCAAATCCTATTTTGAGTTTTTTTAAAAAAATATTTTTTGGTAAAGTTTTAAAATATTTAGTTTATAATTAAATATATAAAGTCACAGAAAATATATTTTATTTCCCCAAAATCAATCTCAAGTTACCAAAACAATGTTGCATTGTTTTAATATTATTAAAAACACAGATACCTTCAAAATGTTTCACTATAACTGAGGAAGTTATTTTATTTCTAATCTAATTAGTTTAGTAAGATAAGAATGAGTACCAAACACAAGAAATAATTTTCAACGCAAAACAAATCATTTACATTTTAGTGTGTTTGAACAACAATTATGCAAAATTCTAATTCTTCAGTCATAGACTTTATAATTTTCATAACAAAATAACTAATAAGCAAAGTATACCTTAATCCATATCAATATATTTCACCTATATATTTGCCTGCAGAACTTGTGCTAGAGAGATATGAAACGACGACATTAATGGAGAACTTTCTTTCTTTCCATTTCTAGCATGTAAACTCTTAAAACTTCAGTTCTTGAATTTAAGTTCTTGAATTTTTTGCTACGCGAACATAATAGAACTTTCTTAAAACTTCAGTTTTTCCTTGATTTATTATTGCTTAATGCGTATAATTTAGTTATAAAAAAGTAGAACGCTTTAAAAAAATCATCACAAATTTGAAAATCACTTGAGGATACATATGATAAAATAATATTTGAAAAGGTTGCATGAAAAAACATTGTTTAAGTAGAGACACATTTAAGAAAAATTATTTTGATTGATAGGTTGAAAAAAAAGTATATAATATGCCATATTTATAAGATATTGTATCAAAAAACTACAAGAACGTATGGGGAAAAAAGTTTAAATAGGAGCACATTTGAAAAATAAAAAAATTACTTCATGGGCAAATAAATTAGAAAGAAAAAAATATTTCAGTAATGACATATTTTAAAAAATTAATAGGAATAAATTAGAGAAAATGTGAGGAGGTAGTGTAAGATCTTATTAATGATATAAAAAATTTTGAAAAACTACATGCAATAAAACAAATTTTCAAAAATTTAGGGTGGGCATATATAGAATTGTTTGGAAAACTGCATGCAATACAAAAAAAATAAAAAAACAAAAAAAATCAAAAATCGAAAATCTGGAGGCATATGTCAAAACTGAAGACCAGACGTGCTCAACTATCACCATGATATCAGATTCCGGTGAGTCAAAACTTGTGATTTGAAAATGGTAATTCGTTGATTAATTCAATATTAAATCATTGATTAGGCTGTTTGATCACATAACTACCTAAATATTTGGGATTACTCGGATAAGATAAGACTGAATATTGTTGGTATTGCCTTCTTTCTTTTTCGGTTTTTCTATGGGCCAAAATCATTCTGCTTTTTGTATTTTTAGCAATTATTGGAAAGGTACTTTTTTCTTGTTGGCTTTAACAATATTCAAATGACACCATCACATTTTGAAAACAAGATAAAAACAAAAACAACACGTGGATGGAATTACTTGTGTTGATTTTCTGTCGCGATTTTTATTGCTAATTACTGTATGTCTTCTTAAAGACTTGCCGCTTTTTTCTCAATACTAGAGAAATTAAAATACATTTACAATATTTTCAAATAATATTAAAAAAAACTTTATGTATTTACATTGCTAAAGAATTTACTTCTTATTATGAAAATTAAGAAAATGCAAAATTAAAAAGAAAAATTTATTGAGAGAAACTAGAGAGAGAATTTCATTAATCTTGTAAATGTATATAAAATAAAGAGTCATAGAGCTCAATTTATAGCAAAATTTTCAGCACTATTTACTGTTATTAGTTCCATATTACTTACTATTTACGGTTACTATTTGCATAGTAAGATTCTGACATGAGCAGTAACTTTGACTTACTTGCATAGTAATTTTGACTGAGGTGGACAACAACTATTTATAACACTCCCTCTTAGATGTCAACCATTCATGATGCCTCATGAAAAACCTTACTAGGAAAAACTTAGTAGGATAAAAATAATAGCAAAAGGAAAAAGAGTACATCATTTATCTATACATGTTTATGCTACCTCGTTAAAAACCTTATTAGGAAAACCTAGTGGGATAAAACCATAATAAGGAAAAAAGAATACAGCCACGTAAACTCCCCCTCAAGTTGACATGTATAGGCCTTCTTCATACCTCGTCAAAAACCTTATCAGGAAAACCTAGTGGGATAAAACCATAATAAGAGAAAAAGAATACAGCCACGTAAACTCCCCCTTAAGTTGACATGTATAGGCCTTCTTCATAAATCTCACAGATGACACATCCTAATACTGTGTATATGCTTTCTGAATGTTGTAGTATGAAGTGCCTTTGTGAAAAGATCTGTTCTATTGTCACTTGATCGAATGTATTGAATATCAATATCCTTATTCTTTTTGAGCTCTTGGGAATATGAGAAGAACTTCGGGGATATGTGTTTCGTTATGTCGCTTTTGACATAACCTTCTTTGAGTGACACAAGCTGCACTGTCTTCAAATAATCTAGTTGGATCTTTATTGATAGATTTTCCGTAAGTTTCTTGGATATGTTGAGTCATAGACCTTAGCCATACACATTCTCGACTTGCTTCATGGAGTGCAATAACTTCGGCATGACTTGAAGAAGTGACAACAAGTGTTTGCTTTTGTGAACGCCATGAAACAATAGTACCTCCACATGTAAGCATGTATCCAGTTTGAGATATGACTTTATGTGGATTTGACAAATATCCTGCATCTGTAAAATCAATCATCCTTTGTTTTGATCCTCTAGGATAAAATAATCCCAAATCAAATGTTCCTTGAAGATAATAAAATATATGCTTAATTCTGTTCCAATGTCTTTGTGTGACGATCCTTACTTCTGGTAATCATTACTACGTTCATACTTAACTAATTTCCTAACTTATATCCTTCTTGAACTATTAACTCCCAAAATTTAGAGTAATTTTTTTTCCTTCAATAGTAAAATAAATATTGTGTCGAAATAAAACTTGAAAAGCAGTTCCTAGACATTGTCATACATTTTATCTATTCTTGCATACCATCATCATTCATAGGCCATTATCATAATAGCCTTTCGAGTGCATCAACATACCTTGTAGCTTAAGGTTGCTAAGCATAATCTCGTAGTCTCATAAACTTTACATTCATTACATAACTCACTTACTCTTACATCCATAAATATTATTTACTTTACACAAATATTGCAGCATTTTTAAACCCATAATGCGTCCATCACCTACTTGCCACACTCCAATGCTTTATCCTTTCTGCACGCGCAACAACAAGTTTTAGGGAGCTGGTGCCTTACCCGAGCTTCCAACAATACAGACAAACTTAATGAGCTTTCACTCAACAAGTAACAGTAGGCCATAATAAATGCAACCAGTAATGCACACCTATAAATGCATCCACGTCATACATTCTAATGTACTCTATACACCTAAAACGTATATCGTTTTATGTTTATTTTCTTCTTTCATTTCATACTTCATTTATTCATTCTTGTGTCGTTCGTAATATTTTTTAACATTCCTAACGACTTTCATAACTTTTACATCTTACGTTCTTGCATCGTTTGTTTTCATAGCTTTTACTTCATATAGGCCCCGTCTCATTATACTGTTGCGCACATTCCCAATGAGAAGTGGGAGAGCTACCCAAAATAACCAACTCACTCATGGTTTTATAATAACCTCCCTTGCGGAGGCCGGTACAAATAGTTTAAGTTTCTTACTTTCTTTTATCATCTTTTCTTTGTACATCATCTTACTGTCATATTTTCTTATTATGATAGTAATTTTAATCTTGTTTTGCGTTTTTACTCATTTCTATCAATTTCCTATGAAATTGACTTTACGTAAAATTTTGACTTTTTCATTGACTTTGACCTAAACTTAGACTTTGTCACATATCAAAATTCTATGTCTACTTTGAGTCTATAAAAACATTCATCACATCACAAAATATTCAAAAGCATCATTCATATTCTAGCATACATAGATCTCACAATATGCACATTTTTGTGCAACATGGAGGAATAAGTTCATTCATGTCATAGTCAAGAAAAACTACTGATACTTACAGAAGTTCTGCTAATGTTGTGACCTTCGAGTGACCTGAAGCTTTCTGACTTTGATCGTCTATCGATCCAATTATATAAATTTTTGATCTTAGATTTATAATCTAAGATCAATAATTACAATAGAATTTAACTTGAAAAGGCCTATAATTCTTCTGTTCAGTATCCAGACTGAAATATCTCTGATCTCAATATCATGCTCCAAACCAGTGCATATTTGACCAATAATTACTATCTTGAGTCATTTTTAAAGTCATTTTATGAAAAATGCTATTTCACAAAAGTTGTTCGGAATGAAATTTCCTACAACTTGGTGTTGGACACTTTTTGAAACTAAGCTTTTATCTTGGTTTTATAACCCAAAACAGTACCAGAGTCTAATTTTCGGGTAATAGCCTAGTTTTCAGTTTTGGGCAAAAACTGTGAATTTTCATCATTTTAGGTTTCTATGCATTTCTGATCACCGAATCAACTTACTTTACATGTCT